CTCAATATGACGAAAAATAACAACTGTGTATGCGCATTTCGAGGATTTAAATTAACCTGTACTTTTAAAAAGCTTTGAGCTAATACAAAGTTATACATCAAAACTATGTTTTGCAAGACAACAGTGCAAGTTTAAAACTTAAAGTAGCATCTTAAAACAAGCCTAAGGTGATTAGAAGTTGGCATTATATTATGTACCAACATTTGGTACGCCTTTATCAGCATTTTATCTGTTGCTGCTATTATAAGTATGGACTATTCCAACACTTCCCGACGTATCTACAATTATATTGCATTTAAAATACGTGTTCTCAGATAAGGCCTGATCATGACCGGTGTAACTGGTCGAAATGAATCGTCATTCTATCTTTTACAAGGATTTACCATCTTGTAAATGTATAGCTGTAGTTCAGTAACAAAATATTTGAGTTTTAAAATACCATTAATGAAAATCCGTAAAACAATTATCGTTACAGACGTCGTATTCCTGAGAGAAGAAATTTTAAACTAGAGATACGAACCCGCTGAAATAAACAATATTGCGACGAACAAATTCACGTTTCAAATGCAATAACTTCGGTCAGTATTGTAAAACATTTATCCTGGAATGGGAGAACGGTTAGTTACGTAAGAACAATAATATGGCGGAATAAAGGATTCCAATTGTCGTTGAAATAGAACAATTTACCTTACAACTGAGGTAAGCGAAGTGGGTGAAAGGTTATAGAAACTGCGGGCTTGGTTATGTAACGTCGGACGTCTTGAATAGCGATTGACAGAACCACTGAAGATCTTGATGAGCCGAGTAAACATGGGGGCTTAAGAGGGGAGGTTGATAAAACACAGGAGACAATAATAATGGGTGATAAACATGTACCTTCGTTCTAGACTCTAGAGCATTGACAGGATTAAACATTTGTTAAATCTTTCGTGTTCGCTTTAGATAACACGATTTTTTAGACATTCTTGATTCTAAGTTATCAGTTGAATTCATTAATTGATTTCCATGCCTAATTGTAAAGAACCAAATAAAAGATGGTTTAAAATATAGATAATTTTAAATAGTTGTACCATATACATGTTATTACATTTTTCAACCAACACAAAATATATTTGTTCCAAAAGAAATTAATCTAAAAGAGACAGAGTTTATAGAGAGAAAGAGCAATAAAATTAGCATCAACAAACCCTATCGGAATGAGAAACACTACTTCGACAAACGGCATATAAATTCGACATTTGGGTGAAGCAGATTATTTAATCTTATTAACCACTTAAAGGGAGGCTCTGGGTTCACTATAGGTTAAGAGGAAACCAGAGGAAAAATGAAACAGGATTAAATTGAGAAGGGACACGCCATCGAGTGAAACAGCGACTCTTGAGAAAATTAAAGAAAAAAGTCAAGATGCTCAATAAAGTCAAACGGTTGTTGGGCCCACGCTGTCGATCTTGACAGAAATGCTCTTGTGGGGCTAATAACATTTCGAATTACAATTAGACAGACACGACGCGGGGGGCGCTTCTACTACCTGAACTTGTTCTTCAGTTGCTTCATTTCATTGGCATCCTTCAGAGTTGGCGTTCTAATTGTATATTGGAAATACTAAATCTGCGTTTCAGCTTCAGATTGCTTCCCTCTTTCGCGATTGTTGGGGCGTGTTTGACTGATTAAATCTCTACGTCGCGCAAAACACACTCTTACTGCGGTTGTAATTGATAGGGAAACTATACAACAGCTGGGGAAGATGCTGACAATACATTGACAAATCTCATCGATATCTCCTCCTCCACCTGGCGGCTGATTGGCTTGATTGGAGCGTTTAGTCTACTTAAGCGATCGGCAACGGAGATGTTAGCGTATCTTATTTAAAGCAGTTGTATTCTATTACATAAGTATTAAAATAGCCTGATTTAAACCTTATACGATAAAACGTGCCGGTTTAAATGTTATGCCCTTTATTTTATATCCTTATATAAGTAACCAAAAATGTATTGTCACATGTATTCAAACGCAACGTCCACCAGCTGTACCTACATATAATATACATACATGTATATAGAATGTTTTATACAATATTACAGTACACCCCCTTTCTAATGAGAACTAATTCCGTGTAATTTAAAGTGAAATTCAATGTAATGAACAGTTCGATACGGGAAGAACATTGAAAGTGGAAACGGGTTGCGACTGCTCGCTAAACAAAGAGTCGGGGCAGTCAGGCAGACACAAATTATTGGATGATGACCGGCATTTTGTGTGTGGAAGCGGATGTTGATAGTTTATAGTTGATTTTTGTGTGTGACGCAACGACCGTGGCCGCGGCTACGCGAGTACACGACTACTGTACACGACTACGCTACAAATTGGCTATACGAGAATTTGGCTCCAAGACTATACGATGATTTGACTATACGACAATTTGACTACACGACTATGCGACAATTTGACTACACGACTATTCGAAAATTTGACTATACGTCAATTTGATTCCACGGCAATAATGTACCACGATTTGACTGTGGCCACACGACTACCTGGAAACTACGCAGCGACACGTCACATGGATTTCTCCAAGTCAACCGTTCTCATAATTAATTCTCCTGCGTGTCCACTACGTATTTCTCCAGTTCGATATTAATGCAACAACAATTGAAAAGAGTTCAGATTCGAATTCACTTCCTGCGTTTGTTCGCAAGCTCAGAGCTGCGTGAGATGTTTATTTATAAGTTTTATCTTGACACAATATATCAAGGCTTCGCTCAGAATTTGTACTTTAACAATAATTAAGCGATCGTTCCGCGCGATAAGACCGAGTCCCACTTTCGGGAAGTGGTTAGCACGGTGTGCTTCGCGATGTCTCTTGCACGATTCGACGTTTTAAATATTCACTTGTTCGCTTTCCAAATCTGACCTTATGCCTTATTAACATGTTAGAAACTATGGAATGTGTACAGAAACTTATTAAATTCATAATTAGCTAATTATTCACCCAACGTATCCCTTCAACCCACATACAACAATGAGGGACCTCGTCATGGGTCGGCCTTGACAAAGTTGTGCGAGAGAAGATGGCTGAAAAAGATTCATTAGTTTTTATGTACTTTGGAAGTAGGGTGGATTAATTTGTGCTTATTAGAATAGTGCATTAAAGAATTTCACTACGTCGAGACGTTCAGGGTTTGAATTATTTTACAATATTCGATTTCAAAAAGAAGAATTTTAAAATTATTTCACATTAATGCAACTTTCTTCTTTGTAATTGTTAGAACATGGGTAAACTTTATTAGTAGTTTAAAAAGTTTCTTTTTTAAAATATACAATTAAATTTAATTATGTTAATCACAAGTGAAAATATACTATTTTTGCACAATGCAGGGTTAAAAACTAGTTTCATAACTTTGTCAATCGTAATAGAATTTCAACAGCATTAGACTATGTACAACGAGAAAGATTCAGCGGGGATGAACATTCGTGTTACATCGAGCCAATTATGGCTAGATTAGAATAAATAAGAAACAGCTGGCGATCGTCGAGTGTGGTCCTCTTTGCAAAACATTCTAATTTTTACATTAATTAATCCCTTCTGAGAATCGTCGGATAGACCAATTAAGGCACAACACGCCGTGCTAGTTATATTTTAAACACTATTCTGCTTTTTAAGTATTTAAGGTTTTGATCGTAACGTTTCTCTTAATTTGCAGAATATTGATGGTGTAAAATGTAGCATACTTCGTAAACTTATTTCTTTGTTTCTTATTAGGTGGTATACACTGTTAACTACAAAATATAAAGGACTAAAAGTATAGAATGAAAATGAACTGTGGTGTTTTAATGTCCCAAATAATATTATGTAAATGTAAAGTAAAAAAAGCATTGTGATGGTTCTTAAATTTATATATTTAATTATGAAAACAAACTAAAGATGACCACTTAAAAATTACGCTTTTCAACAATACAAGAACACGTGTACGTTTATCAAAACACAAACTATTTTAAAACATATTTTCCTCCAGTAAATTTTCCAACATGGAATCTCATCATATAAAGTAGCAAGATGTAAAATCGAAAGCATAATAAATCAACTTTAATTTCTCCTATTCAATATTAAATCCGGGGCGAAACATAAACAATTCAAAGACACTGTTAAAATTCAGTGAATTGATCGGAGTGTCAAATAAGTATTTCAGAGTTTAAAGTTTCATACAGCATATAAATTGGACGAACGGGGTGAGTGGTGGGGTGGGGGGGGGGTTAACGTTAAAAGACTGCGGCCAACTGTAAGTCAGTTATCGACTACGATTCGGAACAGTTAATTACGCACAATTAAGTGACGAGTTACAACGGAGTGTCCCGAACCGATAAGGTATCAATCTACATACTCTCTTGCAATCGACTCGATAAATTTGGTCCTTCGAGCCGGTTAAAGCCCATTCTTACTAAACCTATACTTCTTAGTAGTTAAACGAGTTAAACACGCATAAATCTACTTAATTAATATATGTGTAAATTAACTTGAATTACATTATGTTACGGCTTTAAATTGTATTTTTATTGCAAGCAATTAAGGAAAAGACTGATTAGAGTTTTGATAATAATTGGGGGGAAAGTAGTTTACGAACAATAGAGAAATGTAAAAAACCCGATTTTAATTGTTTACATTCAACTAAAATAAAATATATTGCATTAGGTTACTTTTGTTATAAAATATAAATGCCAAAGTATATAATTATATAAAATATACTAATTTATTAATGTATTACAATTTGTTTTATTTTACTGCAAGTATTATCAGTTTATGCGTTAATCAATTAACTTTATCGTGCCCCACTTTAGTTTAACCACTATAATTATTCGAAGATAAAATGTCACATTTTTAACGACATAATCGGCGAACGTAAAATCGCCGAGTTGGAGGGGTGGCTATTGCCACTTATTGACTATAGGACACTTCATTACTGGCAATTAACTATAGACATTTTGCTCCTTCAGTCTTTTAATACCTCCCCACTCTGTTCCAATGCTCCAATGCCGATAGTCATTATGCTTCTTTGTCTGTAGTATT